GACTGAAGCTATTGGCAAACCCGGAGAATGCTGCCCTATGACGACCATTGAAATTCAGTTCTAGGAAGTTTCCAGAAACTGTAACATGACACACTGGGCATTTACTGAGGCTGCCTCAATGACAGAAGGACAAAAAAATTATCATGAAACCTATGAGACCCATAATGCCCTGGGTGATATTGGAGAAGCACTCAAATAAGGAATGTGGTGTCTCAACACTTATGTAATAAAACGGAAATGATTTATGTAGAATAAGTCACTAGGGGAAGTCCTGTGGACAGTGCCTGATGAACTACTTTCTACCGACCCGTAGAAGGGCTTCTTGGTGGCAGGTCCAAGGAATGTTGACAACAACTGATGTGGAAAGTCACTGCATTAAGACGAGCAGATGGAGAGATCTTAATTGAAGAAATGAAGAGCAGGAGTCTGACCTACGGGCTGTCTTCCTCGGTGTGGTGAAAAAATTGGACAATGGTGAGAGCTTATATATTTGAATTTTTTACTGATACACAGGCAGTGACCAATGGCCTGGTTATATGACCATGTAACTGGGGCAATGGAAAACTGGACAATTAAAGGAACACTTGTGTGGGCAAAGGCCTATGGAAAGCACTATGGTTCCTGAAAGGGGATGTTCGAAGAGGACATGTTCATGACCATCGGAAGGACTCCTGCCTGGATCAGAAGGTATGTGGAAGCAGTAGGTGGACATGTTTGCATGCTCCCTTGAGATGGCCAATTGGGTTCATGAGATGAGTAGACATGGGTGCTGCAGCAATGCAAAGATGGGCTGAATTTAGCTACATCCCTCTTAAACTCTCTAAGGCAGCGGTTCTCAACTTGTGGGTCACAACCCCTTTGGGGGTAGAAAGACCCTTTCACAGGGGGTGCCTACGACCATCGGAAAACACATATTGCCAATGGTCTTAGGAACCGAGACACCACTTCTCTGTCTGTCACCAGGCGGGTCCGCCCACATGCAGATATGCCCATATACGAGTACCTGGTGTGAAGACTGTTACCCATGCTACACCATGCTTCAAGATAAAATTTCATTTATTTTAATTAGAAATAAATATTACATAATATATAATTACACATTGTTTTTGTGATGAATCACTATGCTTTATGTTAAATTTGTAACATTGAAAATACAGCCTGCATATCACATATATACATTATGATTCATAATAGTAGCATAATTATAGTTATGAAGTCGCAATGAAAATAATTTTATGTTGGGGGTCACCACAACATGAGGAGTGTATGAAAGGGTCATGGCATTAGGAAGGTGGAGAACCACTGCTAAGGCCCATATGCCAATCAGGACTGCTCTGCATTCCAGCAAGAAAAACAGAGGCTGCAGATGGCTGTGGGAAGGTGCTGCATGTAACTGGCACTTGGATTACATTGGACCATTGACACTAGTGGTACCAGGATCCTTACAGGAATAGACATTTACTCTGGACCAGGTTTTGCATATTGAGTAATACATGCAGATGCTAATAACACCATCAAAAGATACTGTACACATTTGGGTCACCAAGTTCCATATCCTCAGACCAAGGAGCTTTACAGCCCACAGCGTGTAGCAACGGGCCAAGAAGCATCGCATTAGATGAATAAACCTTGTTGCACACCGCCCTCAGAGTAATGGTTTGATAGAAAATTAGAATGGGCAGTTGAACCATTTTTTATCCAAAACATGGGAGATACAGGCACGGGGAACTGATTTCCATGCCTTCATGAATGTGTGTTTCCACTCAACATGAAGGGGAGGAAAAGGAGGATCACCCCTGGTTAGATTCCTACGTTTCCCAGGAAGGACATCACCTACATTTTTCCCCCCTCTCTCAGATGCTGATGTCCCAGGACCTGAAATGCAGCTGTGAGTGCCAGAGGCCATGGTCATCCCTCAACAAGAGCCTAATGATGCCCCTGAACTTGTATGTGAGAATCCCCAAGGGCCTCATGGGGATGGATTATTATAGTCAATTCCTATGGCCCTTCTAGCCACAATTCCTTATGTGATATATTGTAATTCTGGACTCTATGCCTGTGGGTATAATCCTATTTTGTAATGCATTCTGTATTTCACGAATGGACAGGATTAGAGTGGCATTAAGACTTGTCTTTAGTAGAGGGTGTGAACTAAGTCACACCTTTGTTTCCTTGGGGCATCTTTAGACTTTGTGGATGGTGTGACGAACGACATTCTCCTTTGCTTCCTTGGGGTATGGTCTGCTAAAAAGATGAAAATCACACCTCCATCAAAGCCATTCTTCTGTTTCCTGATGGAACTTTGGTGGAAGCAAGAAGACCTACTTTGACTTTCTAACACATTTTGTCTTCTGGTTCTAGACCCTGCATTTGGCTTCCCTCTGTCTAGCCTGGTCTGAGAATTCACAGAATCATGTGACATTTCCTTAATGTTTTGTGAGTTTCTGTGAGATGTTGCTGACATGAGGAAATATATTCAAGGGAACAGAATACCATCTGAGAAAAATTGGACATTAATACTAGCCTGGTACTAACTCTTCTAAAAGAAATTATTATGGCATGTGTATTAGAATATTCAACACGCATATTCTTCCCTAACTCAAGATATTTTATTCTTTTCAGGAAACAGCCCTGTTCTCCAAAGCTTTCAACCACCTAGCTTAGGGAGACTAGACTGGACTTCTGTAAGAAATGTAAAGAATTACGTTCATCTGGGTGTTAAAATACTGTATAAAGAGAGAGTCACAAAGAGGGAGTTGTCCATGCTCCCTGAGAAAGGGGGAGGAAGCAGAAAAGGATGGAGGTGAATTTTAAAAGAAAGTTATGTGGGCAGACAACCACCTGTTTATCAGTTTGCTGCACCATGGTGGTATATGTATCACTGGAAGACATGCCACCTATATGTGAAATACCAGCAGAGTCACCTATGGTGGGTGGATTTCAGTGGAGCTTCCAGAGTAAGATAGACTAGAATGAAAGTTCTGGAGAACTACTTCAGAAAATTAGCCAGTGAAAACCTATTGGATCACAACAGAATATTATTCTATATAGTGCTGAAGGAGGCCCCCTCCCCCACCAGTTTGGAAGGCCCTATACAATAGCTAGCTGCAAAAAATGAACTCAATGTCATCAATCACAATGGTGAAAGACAGGTAGTACTTCGTTCTGTTGCACACAGACTCTTCCTGATTTGGAACAGACTTGATAGCAACTTACAAGAGCACAACTCACAAGAACAACATTGGCAGAAGGCACATAAATGGGACTGAAGACGATATGGTTCAGAATGGAGAAGGATGAGGGGGGTATGGTGTTTTTGACAAAAGGCTAGAGATAAAAAAGTGAAGACTTTGCAAAAACATAATGTATTTTGGTTTTCTGATTTTAACGCGCAAGGCCATTCAGCATGGGGGTGGAAGAGGAAGAGCAGACAAAGGCCAATGATGGTAGCCTCAGTGTTCATCCGTTTGACAAATCGTTGCGTGCTTACTGTGCTGTGTGCCTAATCTACATTATGGAATAAAATAGGCACAGTCTCTGCCTTCAAGGTATTTAGATTTTTTTTTTCTTGAGCACAGTATAAAACCAAAACCCCAAATCACTGCCATCCAGTCGATGCTGACTCATTGCAAGCCTACAGGACAGGGTCGAACTGCCCCTGTGGGTTTCCAAGACTGTACGTCGTAATGGGAAGAGAAATCCTTACCTTTTTCTTGTGGCTGGTCATTTCAAACTGCTGACCTTTCAGTTAGCAACCACTAAGCCACCAGGGTTCCTTTGCATGCAGTACAAGACCCAGTCACTTCTTTAGACAAAGAAGTATTTGATTAGAATACTTTAGGAAAAAGGCAAAAACTGGACTGGCAAGTGTAGATTGAAGACCGAGAGGCCAGATAGAGACCATTTTATTCAGAAGAATATGGTTAATGGCCTGAATTGAGGGGCACAGAAGAGTTAAAAAGATGTGATGGCTTGTTGGCTGATTGACTGTAAAAGGTAAGAAATATTAGGGGTGGTGTGAAGTCTGGCTTGACAAACTAGAGGAGATTCTTTCCCCCATCATTCTTATAAAGCCACAAACATCTCTCACTCTGGTTTACTGTCATACCTTCCTAAATAAACACGATTTCTTTTCATATATCTTCAGAGATCTTTGCCACGCAACAACCAGAGCAAGTTCTTTGAAATGTAAACTAGAGTAGACGTGTAGAACTTTAACAGTTTCTTTCAACATCTAGAATGAATTTTTCACTCTTTCTCATGGTGGAAAGACCCTTTAGGCCGAAGCATAGTATTGTACCTTGGACATCATCTGCGTTTTAAAATACAGCTGTTGCTTACATTGTGAATAAAAGAACTTAATTGAAATATTGTTGTTCAAAACATTTATTTTTCTTTGTAAACAGGGCCACACATTGCAGCAGTAGTAATTGTTTGCTATAATGAAAGAAAATGTACACAAGGAAGTATGGGTATTTAAAGGACAATGAGTAGATACATGCTTGTATTTAGGGAAAATAAGGAAAAAATAGGCTTCAGGTGGTGACTAGTAACCTCTATTTCCATAAACCACAATAAACAAGGCCCCAGTCACTGTAGCAATTAATTAGAGCAGTTGGAAAATATTATGACATAAATTTATGCTTAATAAGAGCAAGACTCAACTTATTTTCCTCCTAATATTGCTCAGTTGCTTTCTTATGCTTGTATTTTGACTACATGAGTTTTTCCTTGATCAAGTTCAAAATATTCTCAAAAACTTTTGTTTCAAAGACCACAAACTAGGTATCAATATGAAATAGGATCCTTATTCATCATTATATAGGTAGGGTAAATAAAATAATTAGACTTTAGTATTGATGTACAATTTTGCAAATATCCCTGGCTGTTTATATTTAACCAAAGTATACTTTTCAAGACATATAAAAATGAACTTTCCAAGTTCATGATTAACAAAAAGAAATGGCAAAATTCACAAATCTTCATTTTTCTTGGCTTTCTTAAAACCCAGTCCTCGGTCTATTTGCATTTTTCTTTTTCTTTAAAACACAGATGGTGGAACTTAAAATAATGCTAACAAGTGCCACAGACCCAACCACAGCCAACACCACGGTAGAAATGTTAACCCCAGTATTGTGATTGTCCCCACTGGGATTCTGAGGGTTATCAGGGTTAGTATCAGGACCTGGATCTGCTTGAGGAACAAACAAAGGGACTTGAGCCACATTAGAGACTTTTGATGTCAGATTGCTTTTGTCCACACTCTGCATGGCAATGTATATATATGTTGCATTTTCTTCTGCGACGTTGCCTGGCTTAAAGACAAAGGTTTCCTTGGAGTTGGCTTCACTTGGCAGTAGCTCAGTGGTGTTCACTTGAAGAGCCTTGTCAAAGTTGTCCCTTAGATCCAGGATGCTTCCACTTATTCTTATGACATACCGTTCAACTAAGGGGGAAACATTACAAGTAACTTAGAAACCGAAGCATATTATTTTAAATTCCTGTTTTTCAGTCTCAAAAAGATTCTTTGGATATTCAAAATTTATACTCATATACAAAGGCCTTACACATTTAAAAAATAAAAGCCGGATTCTGACTTTGAAAACTCTGCCAATTGTTATCTGCATGATATGAAAACTTGAGATTAGGTAAATGTGCCATGTTTGATTGATTACAATATATTACATTATACAATTAGAATATAAGTTAGGATTACAAAAGGAATGTTGAGTTGTCAGTTGAAAATTGCTTTGTGTCTCATCTACTTTTCAACCGTTTGCGGCATATATTCTCTCAAACACGAGGTAAGTAAGTACCACATGACACCACATCTTACCTTTGCCAACATCAAAATCATCTCCTGGCGCAGTCCACGTGAGCGTAATCTGATCCTCATTGGACTTCGCATCCAGGTCTGTGATTTGATTTGGTGGGTACTGATCAGGTGAATTTGGAGGTGGGGCATTTGAAATCACAAAAGCATCTCCCGTTGCAGTTCTGCTGAAATTCTCCAGAGGGGTCTGATTATCTTCATTTATTTCTGGTCTTGGTGGATTCCCTTCAATTTTCCCTGCATTAAAAACCCCCTAGTTTATAATTTGTTAGTCTTTTCAGAACCCAATTTATTGATTTCCCTTATCCCAATGATTTTTTCCTTATTATACAATCTCATCCCCCACCCTACTGTGTTAACAAAGTCATACATAGAGAAAATTCTACAAGAAAAATAGTATGTTGAAATTATAACCCAAGGATGTCATCTTTGAAAGATGATGAACTTTACTCAATGGCAGTTTTTGATAAATTGTGTCCTACAGCATTCATATTCTTAATATTTTTAGTGAACCTATAAAGTCTAAGAAGAACTTTGGATTTTTGTTCTCATTTTATATTATTAACTCTCCATTCGCCATTGTTCTATCCCAGAAAATCTCTCAGCAGTTTGATAAACCAAACCCTACTAGCTGCATGAAGACACTGTTCCTGTAGGAGAGTCATTGCCTTGGTCTTTGCTCTGACAAACTCACTGGTGGAAGAATTCTCCCCTTAGCATCTAGACTGGGATCTTCAGAATAGAATTGAATGGAAAATTTACTTAGTGTTAAGGGTGCATAGAATTTGAGTAATATTATTAATTCATATCTCTCTTCTTTAAGGAATTGCTGAACTTCCCAAATTATCTCCCAGGTGAGACCAATCCTGGGTAGAAACCTGCCAGGCCCTTTGCACTCACGAGCACCTGCTCAGTTCCTTTCCATTTGCCCTGCTAAGGAGCACTACTTCTGATGATCATTCCGACTGCCAACAGAAAGGCCTTTAAACTCACAACATGAGGGACAAAACAAAGGAAAACTATCAAATAATTTGTCCTCAATCATTCTCATCACTTTAATCTACACACCTTTTTTCTTTTGACTTTCCAAATAAATGCTTACGCATTGACTTATCTTTGACAACATATGTGAATTTAGGAAAAATTTTGCAACTAACTTGTACTTAGGCTCATGGTATACTGCCTTGTTTCTTTTCTCTTGACCTGAACATTAGTTTTATGAGTTTTGATTTGGTAAGTTGCTCCCAACTACTGTTAATAATTCTAACAAAGTGCTTGCTATTCAGCCAATTATGATTAATGGCCAGGGTCGGCCACAGGGAATACCCTGGGTTTCACAGGGCTGTACAGGTTTGGTTTTTGGAAGTAGATCCCCAGGGCTTCTTTCTGAGTGACTCTCAGCATAGTCAGACCTCTAATCTTCTGGTTAGCAGCCAATTTTATTTACTATTTGAACAAGACAGGAACTCCAAGAACAGCTAAAAACCTCATTCCATAAAAGTGAAAGATTATACTCTTATTAGTAGAGTGTTTGAAGCCTATTATTTACATTAGCACTTGATCTTTCATGACCCAAGTTACTCACCATCCACCACCCAGCCTGGTATATAGAGAGCTTTATTCGATGGATGCCCCAAGCTTCGCGTGACAGTGTTTTTTCCTCCATGAGCTCGTACTTTTAAGCTGTACCTGCCCCTCTCTGTGTAAGCTGTAAAATACCTGGAGTAGACCCCATCGTTCTTCAAAGAATCAGCACCTAGTTATAGGAGTGAAGGAATACATCATTGCTGCAAGGCAAAGAGACGCATACATTTTCCAAGTTATGCATCGGACCTTTATAAGTATTTGCACAACATTGGGATTCCAACATTGATATTGTCCCCTTGGAGAATAGTTGAATTATGCTCTGCCAAAAGGCATTATCTAATTGAATTGATATCCCTTAATTATTATTATAAAATACAGATACTGAGTTAGTGTAAGTATATCTATATTTATGCATAATAAAACACCTCACCTGTCTGGCCCTTATTAGTTTATATGCAGGTTCTTATAGGACTCTTCTGATCTCTCAGCAAATTGGTCTACTTGAACTTGCTTTGTCTCATGGATTGTCATTCCTCTGTTATTTCATACAGTCTTTACTAAAGAGCAGGTGTTCTACATAGGATTTAGTTCTCACCATCATCAGCTAGAAAGTACCTCTTTAGATGTACCTTCAACCATTCTGTTTTCATTTTTTAATATTCAGCTCTTGCTCTACGATGCATTAACTCGCTCCCTCTCTGGCAGAACAAGACCTATCTATTAGGATAAACCTTTGAGCAAGAAGAGGATAGTGTTGCTTCCTCTTACAACACCCAGAAATAAGTACAATGAACACTGTACTCAAAATAACAGAACTAGAGACAGAACAAATAAACAAACAAAACCAAAAAACAAAAACACACAGCAAAATAATAGTAACATACCCACATGTCTCAATAATAACACTGAATGTCAATGGGTCAATTTTACTAGTCAAGAGACCAAGTATCATCATCCTTGGTAATAAAATTCGCAGGGAGTGTAATGTTCTTTTATATCAGCAGTTCTTAAAATGAGGTCTTTGAACCATCAACATCTGTATAGCTGTTGACCTTGTTAAAAATGTAAATTCTTGGCCAACTAGTATTTCATATGGTTGCTAAACTGCTCTAAGACAACTAGACGAACCAGACAACTAATAATGATAGCAGTAGCTAAATTTTACTGAGTGCTTATCATCTGATACACACTGTGGTAAGCACTTTGTAGATGTAATCTGAACAGTTTTCTGGCTGTGTTTCTGTTCTTTGGTAATCTGCATCAATTTTTCTAAGGCTTATTCTGCTGCTTCATATACTGCTACAAAATACTATTTATGAAAATATAGGCTTATTTTTAAGAAATCTGTCATTACCTGCACCATTATCCAAAAGTTCCAAAGTTTCCACATGCCCCTTTGCTGATTCAATGAAGGCAGTCACAGTAGCTCCGAGAACAGGTAGGAACCCCTGTTGAACTTCCGCATAAACGATCATTGGGCTGGGGAAGCTGTTTGTGCCTTTATTCATTTTAGTTGTCACTGTGATTGGAGGTACAGAAGGATCTGATGCTTGGGAAGTTACTGTGATAGTTAATACTTCTTGGTTTGCTGTGCCTTTAAGACTGTAAATCCAAGTGCCCACCTAAAAATTCATGGGAATATAGTAAGTAAGCTTTCAAAGTCCATCAATTTTCTCTTTCCCACAAGGAGCCCTAGATGCACTATGGGATAAGCCTTGGGCTGCTAACATCTAGGGGGCGGGGCTGGGCATATGAGGCTGCCAGTTGCGCAGAAAGATACACAGTATTAGAAATCCTATGTAGGATTGCTGCAAGTTGGCATTAACTGGATGGCAATGGGTTTGGTTTTGGTACAACATTCCACAGATGAGAAAGTGGTCGTTTAGACAAACACCCACACTAGGGCCATGCATGGCTTATATACCAGGTAAAGCATCACCTGATAAAATTAATTTTGATAAGTTGGCTTTGGTTTGCCTTCTTTGTTTTAACATCACAGTTCTCAGATTGTATAATCCTAAATGAGCTAATAAGGAAAGAGGCTATAGCTATGTGCACACCATGCTGTAACACCTCCTCCCACACTGCCTCTCAAAAGTTCTTGGCCAAACTATAGTTTGCCCTTTTCTTCCACCCCCTGTTACATAAATTCCCTTTTTCTCCTATTGAATTATTTGGCTTATACAATGATAAAAAGCACATTCTATTTTGATCTTAAGTTTGAAGATAACACTTTATTGACAGTAAGCATTTAAGAAATAGTATGTGCAATATTCCCAACAATTTACTCTAAACCTTAAAAAATTGTAAAGAGGAAGTCTAAAAGCTGATTTCTCACCGTGGCAGTTCCTGGAATCGTGAAATATGCCATTTTGGATTTTGTATCCTCTGTGAATGTTCCCACCAGTGTTCCCTTGGGATCCCAGAGAGAAATTTGGGGCGCTGCTCGGTTCCAAGTGACGAGAAAGAACGTCTCCTTTCCCACGGTGCTATCAATGACTACAGTTCCATTCATCCAGAGGTCACTGGTGAGGGACAATCCTTTACTTTCAAGCTGTTTGAACATATTTTAAAACTTAGTGACTGGCGAAAATGACAATTTCATCTTTCTTTTAAAGACAGTGTTTCATTTCTGGCTGAGAAAAGGCTTATGTAGGGTGTGCTATTTTAGACGTGTGAACTCTGAAAGCTGACGGGGATACATCGGGTTTCAATCAGAACACGTGGAACTATCGGTTCTGACAGAAAAGACCGCTGTAAGAAAAGTGTTAGAGCAGACACACAGGCTTTACTGTTTCAGACATGGCCATACGATTACTGACACACACTCTCGGAAGAGTGCTCGGCACAGAGAAGAACTGGCTGGAGGGCAGAACGGAAGGGGCGGGCGGCTGGGGGCTGGAGAATGAGCGGGAGCCCAATAGGGAATGAACTGGAAGTCTACGTGTAGCTTGTGGACCTTCATGAAATTCCAAAGAAAATAATTAGTAGAGGTTTGAGAATTTGAAGGAGCCCTGATGGCATAGCGGTCAGCAGTTCAAAGCCACAGGAGAATGATAGGTAGGACTTTCTGCTCCCTGCAGAGTTCACAATCTTGAAAACACACTAAGGCAAGTCTACCTGTCCTACAGGGTCACTATAAGTTGGCATTGACTCGATGTCAGTGAGTGAGTGGAGTGGGTGAGTGAGTGAGTGAGTGAGTGAGTGGGTGAGAGAGTGAGTGAGTGTATTTGAAAGGCGCTCTTGTGGCCTCGTGGGTTATGTATTCGGCTGCTAACCACAAGGTGATCAGTTTAACACCACTAGCCTCTCAGAGGGAGAAAGGTGAGGTTTTCTGCGGCTCGCACAGATTACGTTTCACTGAATTGTTTTCTATCATTAATCACTCTTGCCCACAGGCAGAGTCTAAGGAAAGCGGATTACCTTCGCCTTTCTCCCTCCAGCCGGGGGAGGAGCAGTCTTGGAGGGGCCTGCCTGGCGTGGCCTTGATGGACAGTCTTGCCCGGACTGCCATGGTTGGAAGGCTTTTGAGCAATCTTGTCAGGTTTTCTACCTAGTCATGGTCCTGTGTGTACCAGGCATGGTCCTGTTCCCGTTTCTGTATTTCCATCTGGAACTTGTATTGCTCTGCCACCAGTCACCAATTTGTGACCCTTTCCTTTGTTCCCTGACTTATTTAACTAGTGGCCTGACTGAGAATCCTCAGATGCCATCATGACCTTGTGCTAATGGTCTCCCTCGTCCAGATGATGTGCCTGTGTCTTTGTGCTGTCCATGTCTCTTTTAAGACTTAATAGATGTTCTCCTTAAATTGTCTTCAATATTGGGGTCTCTTTTGTACCCTAACATACAACTTAACCCATACGAAATATTCCTCTATAATCCTCATTGCTGGAAGATATGAGGAATTAGGTTGGATTAGGTAGTTATGGCATGTTTTAATAGCAGAGACTTGGTGAATTGGGAGAGGGAAGAAGAGTGGTTTAGCAAGAAACAACTTTAATAGACTTTGTATCCATATGTGGAAATGGATATGGAGACTAACAGACTCTTGTAAAATCACTTAGGGGAAAAGTTAAAATGTTGGGCTGACATTACGTATGAATCAAGACATTGTAAGTTTACTCAGGGACTTTAAATGTAAATGACTTAAAATGGTGGGTGGCGCTGTTGAGATACAAAAGACGAGAAAAGGAGTGGGTTTAGGAGGATTATTACACATACTTGTCTGTGTGATTTGTGTTCTACTTTCAAACTCCTTAAAGTCATAGCCATGGGCCAAATTCTCATTTCGTCCTATAATTGTAATGTATTTAAAAGAATAACTTCTAATTTAATTAAAATTTAACTGGAAGAAAAATACAGAAGTCAAAACATATAACCATGGACTTCTCTTACTTAATTATGTCTAAGGGCAAGCATGCAAACTCAAGAATGGGAATTCTCACCTGGAGAGCCTTCTTAGAGAGATCCGTGTTTCCTGATGCAAGGGCTCCAAAAGCATCAATGAGGCCATTGCTCTGGGCATTGTCTGAAGCAAATTGATGAATTCCTCCTAAAATGCACACACACTCGTAAAAGTACTTTCTAGAATAAATACTCATAATATTTTAGTAATTAATAATGCAACAAAATGTAATGCAGTATTAAAACGTTAACCAATTCACAGTCTCAGTATAGGCTGAAGTCTGGTGCAAAGACTGAAAAGTTCATGAAAAATGCCACACCTAGAAACTATTAGCTATCTTAGCAGTTATCTGAAACGTTAGACAGCCAGAATATATCATATAGAACACTAAACAAAAGATGGTTCAACTTCATGTGTTAAATAAAGCTCATAACCATCTGGGAAGATTATTCATTTTTATATGACACGAAGCCAAAAAAATAATTTCTATTGCTTTCAGACTCATGATGACCCCACGTGTTGTTAATACAATGTGGCCATAGGGTTTTCTTTGCTGTGGTGTTTATGGAAGCAGATAAGCAACTCTCGTATGCTGCACATAGGTGGGTGTGACCGCTAACCTGATTGTTAGTGGCCAAAAGAAAACCGTTTGCTACCCAAAGACCTTATTTAAGATAGCATTCTAACAATATTGGCTCCCAGATTTTCCAACCATATTACATCAGGATCAAAAAATTAGAAAGGAAAAATAATGAAGAGCTGATACCAAGGGCTCAAGTAGAAAGCAAATGTTTTGAGAATGATGATGGCAACAAATGTGCAAATGCACTTGACACAGTGGATGTATGCATGGATTGTGATAAGAGTTGTACGAGTCCCCGGTAAAATGATTAAATTTAAAAAAGCGATTTAACTATGAAAAAATTAGAAAGGTTAAAAAACTGCTATATTGAGGTTTCCTCACAACAGCTGGCAAGGAGGAAAATGAAAAATTGTAAGCAACACAAATAGGTCAACAAAAGTACTACTTATGGGGGTTCACTTGGGAGAGAAAGAAATCTTATGAAAGTGTTTTACAAACAATGGAAGCTTATAAAAAGAATAAATTTAAATAAAAAGCAAATATATGCTTGGTTACTTTAGAAGCTAGCTTAGTACAGTTGATAAAAACCTTGACTCAATAGCAATGGGTGTAGTATATTTGAATACAGATGGAGAGTAACATCAAGAAGAAAATAAATGTTTCAAGAAGACACTGGAAGCATGTAATCCATTTTCTTCACATTTGTGTAACAAGGTGACAACTACAATAAACTCCCAAACCAAACATACTGCCTTTGAGTCCACTCTGACTCCTCCCAACATTAATAGGGAGTAAAATGTCCCCTAGGGTTTGTAAGGCTGTAATTTGTACAGAAGCAGACTGCTTCCATTTTCTCTTGCAGAACAGTGGTGGATTTGAACCACTGACCTTGTGGTTAGAACACAATGCTCAATCACACTGCCATCAGGTCTACTTCTTACCTATCCTGAAAAACCAAACCCATTATCAGTGAGTTGATCCCAACTCATAGGGACCTCATATGTCCGAAACTCAAACTCACTGCCATTGAGTTCATTTTGACTCATAGTGACCCTGCAGGTTAGAAGAAAACTACCCTTTGGGGTTTCAACGGCTGCAGGTCTTTACAGGAGCAGAAAGCCTCATGTCTTTTTCCATGTGCAACTGATGGTTTTGAATTGCTGACCTTGGGGTTAGCAGCCAGTGTACAACCTACTGTGCCACCAAGGCTCCCTTACATAGGATGTACACAACTCTAAATATTTACTGAAGCAGACAGACTTCTTTTTCTTCCACTGAGCAGCTGGTGTGTTTAGATCACCTTCGGGTAACCCACATTGCCACTATAGCTAACGTTTAATCCAGAAGCTGTTATTTAGGGCTGTTCAACCCAAATTTTTATTTATCTGCCCTGCGATCCACAGTCTGTATTCCGGTCTCCCTGGATTTCCTATACATGTCCTGCACCATCATTGCAACATGACCTTGCTCATGGCCTGTTCTCTGTTCTATTTCTTCTTCCTCCCAGAGAAATTCCACACTTTTCTCAAGGCGCAGTTCTGAAGCCACCTTCCTTGATGCCTTCTCTGCCTGGCTCCATCCAATCCTGGGAGAACGAGTGGTTTCCACTCAGGCAAATCCGTACTCCCAGGGGAGGGAGTGTCATGATCACTTTATCTCAGCATCGGTTTTATCGTCCCCTAGTTGGCTGCATTGGGATCACTTTGATGAAGTGATTGTGTCTGGCTGGGCTCTGGTCCCCAGCTGCTGGCACCGTGTCTGGCAAGGCAGGAGTTGGAGAGTTGTTGTCACCCTCTTCCTTTCTTTATTGCTATCAAAGGGCTAGAATTTATAGTTGATATTTTACCTGTCATTGAGGCCATCTCTATTATTAATTCATTAGCTGATGGTCCCAAAGCAATCACATGAACAATCGCTTCACTTTGTTTCACCTCATCCATACATGACGATACAGTGTTGTCCTCTCCGTCAGTCAGCAGCATTATTTCAGATCCACTTGTTCCCTGGAACTTCTTTCTAATCTCCTGCAAACATAATTAGTGTCTTAATTATAAGGTATTCCTACATCAAATAGATTGGTGAGGACTCAGACAACAATTATCAGAGAAAATAAACACATGCTCAGAATGGATGAGAGTCTCTGTTTTACAGTTGAATCAACAGCCCTGGGGGATCTTAGCCATTAGGGGTGTGTGTGTGTGTGTGTGCGCGTATCTATCTGCTGCAGGAAATGTTTACATAAATAACATTATGTGGAAGTAGGGCTGTGGAAAATGCATTTTGAGTTAAATGCCAATGAATTCTCACCATGAGGTACAGGCATCCAAGTCATCCATACACCAAAACATAGTGGGGGAGCTCAGGGAAAGAACTCCGCTTTAGCTTCTCTGATGGTTTTAATTTGTAGTGGTGTCTTAAAAAAACTATTTTGAGACACTGATTCTAGTCCAACAATAACAACAACAAAATGTGGTGGCTGTCACGGGCCCAGAAACAAATAGCGGAGGTGTGTGTGGATTTGCTTAAGAGAATATAGGATATAGAAGCTCCTAATAAAGCTTCTATCAGAAAATTAGTGACAACCCTCCCCCCGCATTACTACTTTTGCATGTTTGTAGGCAAGGGATGACTAATCTATGTATGTAATTTATTCTATGATAAGCATTAAAACCAAACAATGAAAGAGAGAGATAGTGTTATAGTGCTCTACAATAGAAACATATGTGCATGACACAATTCCTCATACAGCATCCCCATCCCATCAAGATACTCATTTGAGTACCAAAGGAAGAAAGATCCCTCGGGGATGCACGGTTCTCTGCATGACTGCGCCCTTGCTTGCTCAGTTCCTGAGCACTGTCTACAGCGTGCCAGCCCATGTGCTGGATGCTGAGATTCAGCAGGCACTACATGACTTCTGCATTCATGGAGCTTACAGGGAAGCAGATATTAAATAGAATCCTCTCCTTTAGCATTTCACGGGATGCTTCAATTACATCTATGAAATTTCATTGCTAGTTTCACTTTCTAGGTCTATTTGTAAATAAGGAAGTACAGTGAACCCTTGCCACTTCGCGCTTCGACTTCCACGGCTTCACTCTATCACGGTTTTTGCGTAACAGCACATGCTCTGTCATTACTGCCACTGATTGGCTCATACTGTACATGCTTGATACCATAAATAATATAATAAATAATAAATGATAATTGTAATGTCCAAAATGTTTTACTGTATTTTCCCTTTTTCGTTTAATAAATTGGGTAATACGAGTGTAATGGTGACTAAAGGGTGTTTTTTCATGTCCTCTATGCTCTAACTATGAAAATATTTGATTTACAAATAAGGAATCCTACTTCGCGGAATTTCATTTATCACGATAGGGTCTAGAACTGATTAACCGCGATAAACGAGGGTTCACTGTATTTACAAAAGAGTATTTACTCTTTGAGTAAAACAAGATGATTGAACTAGATTAAATCTAAATTCTTGTATGGTTCTACATATATATGATTCTATTCCACTGAGGCATATTTATTTCTTTGTTATGAACATATTGAAAAATTTGAATTAACTTAAAATCTTTATTATTAAGCATCTCATTTGAGACTTAGGACATAAGATATAGAGATAATCAACAAAGACACAAGGAAAACACAGGTAAAATGTTTTATAGTCTTAAGAGAACTAACAAATTATTACAGTATTATCATTTATAAAACCTTTGCTATGTGCTTTATGTGTCTTATACATTATGTATGGGTTTGATTTTAGTCATTCATCATTCATTGATTCGCTAATTTTTAAATTATGTTAATACTTTTATTGGGGGCTCTTACAGATCTTAAAACAATCAATAAATCAATTGTATCAAGCACACTTATACATAGGTTACCATCATCATTTTCAAAACATTTTATTTCTACTTGAGCCCTTGGTATCAGCTCCTCTTTTTCCCTCTCTCTCCCTCACCCTCGTGAATCCTTCATCAATTATATGTTTTTATTTATTTATTCTTGTATCTTTGGTAACTTAAATAGCTGCTGTCTCCCTTTACCCACATTTCTGTTATTTGTCCCCTTGAGGAGGGGTGTTATACATCCATCATTGTGATTGGTTTCCCCTTTCTCTCCCTTTCCCTGCTCCCGCCATAGTATTGTTACTCCCACTACTGTTCCTGAGGGGCTTATCTGTCCAGGATTCCGTGTTTAAAGATCTCTTATCTGTACCAATATACATACTCTGGTCCAGCAGGATTTTAAGGTAGAACTGGGGTCATGATAGTAGGGGTGTGGGGGTGTGGAGGCTTCAAGAACTAGAGGAATGTTGTGTGTTTCATTGGTGCTATATTGCACCCTGGCTGAATTATCCCTTCTGTGTGACCCTTCTGTGAGAGGATGTCCAATTGTCTACAGATGGGCTTTGGGTCTCCACTCTACCTCTCTCATTTGCATCAACATAATTGTTTGTTTTGGATCTTCTGATACCTGATACCTGATCCATCGACACCTTGTGACCGCACAGGTTGGTGTGCTTCTTCCATATGGGTTTAGTTGCTTTCCTGCTTGATGGCCAGGCCGCTTATTTAACTTTAAATCTTTAAGACCCCAGACCCTATATCTTTTGATAGCTGGGCACCATCCGCTTCCTTCGCCACATTTACTTATGCACCCGCTTTGTCTTCAGCAATCATGTCAGGAAGGAGAGTATCACAGAGTGCCAGGGATTCACTAACTTTTTAAAAATTGATTTTTTTATGTGCTTGTTAGCACCATGTGGTTTGCTTTTTTAAAAAAACGAGTTACATTAAAATTAGGCAGTAAGTACTTGCAGTCACAAAAATAAATATTCTAAAAATAACAACAAAAGATCATCTATATTTGCAGAATGATTCTCACCTGAAAAGCTGTTTGTATTCCAGAGCAGATGGAAGTTCCTCCACTAGCTACTGTAGGTAATTTCCCAATAAGCTGGTTTCTGTCATTGCTGCTTGTTATTTGGATCAGGTCACCTACCACTGTGGCATAACTATCAAAATGAACCATTCCAGCCCAGGATCCATCTTCAATGATCTGCAGTAGGAAATATTTTGCTGCTTGATTCAGCCGATCTAGGCGAACAATGCCGTCATATAAACCCTGAATAAAAAAGAACAAGAAAAAGAACCATGTGGTTTTCAATTGGAAGGTAATAGCAGATTATATAAAACAAGTGTACTGGATTTGTTGGTAGGAATTTTCTGTGCACAGCAACTGGTGATATAAAAAAAAACAAACAAAAAAGAAATGATCCATTTTTGCCCAAATTGATGAACATATGAGTAAGTGTTATGGGACAACTGATAGTATAGGAAGTAGCAGCGCAGAGTCTTTTAACTGGAGTGGATTCTTGGCTACATTCCATTGGGCCATCAAGGCTGACCTTTCAGAAGCAGGTCACCAGGCCTTCCTTCAAAGGTATCTCTAGGTAGGCTGAAACCACCAACTTCTCAGTTAGTAGCCCAACATTTAACCACGTAACTCAATAGTTCCCCACCGGAGAGCAGAGCTACTCAGAAGGTGAAACAGCTGAGCTACAACTGAGTCCTAGAGGCCTAGTCTGATCTTACCTCTTTCCTCTATCATTTACTGCCCCCCCCCCATTTCTCCACTGATAGATTGATTGAAATTGGTTGCGTGGTGACACAACAAGGCTCACATTCTTCTTTACTTGGTCTTTCCAGATATAAACCTCAGCACATTTATCCTCTCCCTCAATACCTGGATCATGGAGTTCAGCAGCTTCCATTTGACTCTATTCTCATGTCTCTCAAGCATTCCAAATTTATAGAGGGAGCATGGTTAAACTCCACTGCAGATTTCAACCTCCAGGTCAGATCTTGTACCTGAAACTTTACTAAAGAGCTTGAGTGTCTCTGCAGCAAACCCTCTATTTTACAGGGAGCAAACAAGGGTGCTTGTGCTCGCTCTATCTAATTCTGTTGACATCTCTCTTTTACGACAATATTATTTTGTCTCTCCTGAGATTAGGGCCACAGGAAGATATAGGGCGTTAAGCCTTCATGCAATTTAGAACACCCAGGTGCAGAGAAAGTCCAACGTTTTCTTAGCTCTTTAATCACCCATCATTTCCCACATCCAGCAAACATGGGCCATTAAGCTTACCGCCATGCTCCCAGACTTATCAAGAACCAAGCACACAATTCTTTCACGGATCCTCAGTAAGGAGAAGACAGGAGGGTGTAGACTGGTGGCATTAGGTGTGGTGACATTAAAATCCTCAGAATTACTGATCACCTCCCATGTGCTTTGGAAATCGCATTTTTCGTTTTGTAGATTTGGAGCTTCGCGATTATGGTTTTTGGCATTACAGAATTCAGCGATCTAAGAGAGTAAAAAGGTTTTTGAAAATCCCACATTATTTTATATTCTAAGTGTTTTATTATAGATTTTTAAACTTTTCATTGAGAATTAGGTTTACAGAGCACATCATCAGTCTTACACTCAATAGCTCATATACATTATATTTCAACTCATTCACTGTGTTCCCTCTGCCCTCTGCCACACAATATACCACCCTGTCCCTCTCAAAATATAACCCCCTCGCCCTGTGTTTACTTTATACTGTGTATTCTAAAGGAACTCTGGGAGGTCAATAGGGTAGTGCTTGGCTACTAATGGAAAGATTGATAATTCACATCTACCAGTCACTTCAGGGAAGAAAAGACCTGACAAATCCTTAAAGACTGAGAAAACCTATGGGGAAGTTCTGTGCAGTCCTGCAGGGTTGCTGTCCGAACAAAAGAGCAGCAGCAGCAACAACACCAACAAGCATTTTAAAATCTAACTACAGTGAGTGGGAGTATATCTATTTGCATGTGCTGCAAATATATCCAAGGATATTGTAGAGCATTCAAACCCAAACCAAACCCTCTGCTATTGAGCCAATTCTAATTCAGAGAGACCGTAAAGGACAGAGGAGAACCAGTGGTGTGAGTGGTGATACTGGGAGGGTGAAAGGAGGGTGGGTTGCAAAGGAGGAACCGATGACAAGGATGTACATGTGACCTCCTCCCTGGGGGATGGACAACAGAAAAGTGG